TGGAGGGCCGGCCTGGTGGCACACTGGATAAGTGCGCCGCTTGGGAAGTGCGGTGGCGCTCCCGCCCGAGGGTTCGGATCCCACATACAGACCGGTTCCCGCTCACTGGCTGAGCGAGGCGCGGGGGCAACACTGAGGGTTGCGATCCGTTGCCGGACACGGAAAAAGACAAAAGACAAAAAAAAAAAAAAAAGTTCATGGAAAAGTAGAATTAAAAGATAACACGAATCTTTCCATGAACCTTCTGAAGACCCTCTGTACCAGGCTGTGCTTATCAAACTTGCAGTTATGGTCACTGAAGAGCAGCTGTTATGCTGTTCCCAGCATTTCACGGGGTCCTCTTTTTCCAGGTTGTAAATATTTATATTTCGCTCACACACAATGTTGTCTGAGACATTTATTAGTTTTAATATGTGTCCACAGGATTAAAAGTGAGCTTCTGTTTATATTCTGCTGTACGTATTTTTTGGAGTGACCTAAAATCCTTTTGGAATAGATAAAATAAAACTAAGTAAATGATAAGACAGCCAAACATCTAAAAAAATACTGAGAGAAAAACAAAAAAGAAAAGGTAGGATGCCACTGTTTGGGACTAAAAGAAATAACTTTTCGGGAAAGATAAGATATTCTTAAAAAGAAAACTAGCAGCCACTCGGAGCCCTGCCAAGGAAACTCAGTGGCGGTGGGGCTGGGGAAGAATCCAGAGAAATCAGTGTGGCCCTGAAGAGAGCCCTCCAAGGCGGTAAGACCTGAAAGGCCATTCCAAGGACTGAAGGCACTTTGCCACAGGGGTCACACCAGTGAGAACAGCACCAGGGAAGTGACAGCCAGGAGGGCAGGAGCCGCGGCTCAGCAAAAGAAAGAACAGTAAAAACGAATGTGGTTTTAAAGATTATGTTTAGAGCAGGAAAGAGTCAGAAAGAGCAGCCCCTGCTGCTTAGGATTGATGACTCAGACCAGGGGTCGAAAAATGTTTTCTGTAAAGGGCCAGATAGTAAATATTTCAGGGTTTGTGGGCCATAAGGTGTAGGTTACAGACACTCAACTCTGTACTGTAGTGTGAAAGCAGCTACAGACAATTTGTAAAGGAATGGGCATGGCTGAGTTCCAATAAAACTTTATTTATGAACGATTTAAATTGCACATAATTTTCACGTGTCACTAAATATTCTTTTTATTTTTTTCAACTATTTAAAAATATTAAAACCATCTTTAACTTTCAGGTTGTACAAAAACAGGCTGTGGGTGGGACCCGGCTGTGGGCCATGGCTCCCCAACCCTAACGCAGACGGGTGATAGAGTGAGTTAACCTGGGCAACCATCATTCTGTTCCCGTCTCCTCCTTTGAGAAAAACCATCTTCAGACACTAAAGAGTAGAACGGCACGGTGATGGGGAATCCGAGGAGCAAGGAAGGTGAGGGGATGGCTTGAGCAGCCAGGCACTTTCACCCATCGGTAGGGCCAGCGGAAGTCTCCTCCTTTGAGAAAAACCATCTTCAGACACTAAAGAGTAGAACGGCACGGTGATGGGGAATCCGAGGAGCAGGAAGGTGAGGGGATGGCTTGAGCAGCCAGGCACTTTCACCCATCGGTAGGGCCAGCGGAATGTGAAAGGTGAGGCTGGAATTACAGTCAGCCTCTCTCTTCTTTGGGGAACTTGAGGGAACAGGAGGTTTCAGGGGACTGAATAACAGGAAAAAAATCATACTCTCAAAAAAAGACAGTAAGAAAATTATTGATCTGTGGTCTGGAACTGATTTCCATTAAACCTTGAAAGCACATTAGCAGGAGTCTGGCAGCTTGTGAGCCCTCAGAAAAAACCAGGGTGGTCACAGGGAGCCAGCAGGGCTTACCAAGAACATGCCACGCTAACATCAGGTCTGCATTTTTTCTTATTACAAAAGCAACATGTGCTATTGTAGAAAAATGAGAAACTGCAAAGAAGCCAAAAGAAGAAAAGAGGAGGAAAGTACGGGGAAAACCACGGGAAACCTCGGACTTTTCCAGACCTTTAGAAATATTTTTTTAAATGAGATCACATTGCACATTCTGGTTTGTCACCTTTTTTTTTCTACTTTACAATATTCATGAACATCTTTTTATCTAAATCATAATTTTTTGGGTGGCTGAAAAGTTAAGGCCATTGTATGGATGTTTTGTAATTTAACCATTCACCTTTGTTTGGGACATTTAAGATATGTCCACCTCCTACCCCCGTTTAGAGGTATGACTTTAAAAAGCAGCAGTGTTCATCCTTGAGGATAAGTCCTTTTGCACATCTGTACATATTTTCTAGAAGAAATTCCCAGAAGAGGAAGTGTGAGGATCAAGGGTTTGCTTCCTGGCCACTCATAGGGGTACAAGATGGCAGAGCGAGAGATATAAGTTTCTCTGGATTTTGGCATTGACTCAAAGTTCCTCAGCCACTTCTACAGGCAAGAGAGAAATATTGACTGGATTGTGGAGAATAGCGGGCAAATTTTGGCTGATGAAATGCACAGTACCCCAAGTATCTGGATGGATATGAATGTACAAGAAGACAGAGCCCAGCTTAACAAGGGAGGATCGCAAAGAGAAGGAATGGGCTGGCCGGACAGAGCTATGCATTGTTTCCACTGGTGCCTCTAGCAATCTGAGTAGTGTCTCTCACTTTGCAGGTGTGGTGGGTAAACTGCCTTAGTGAAAAGTGCAGGAAAAGGGATATATTAGTAGGTATGCCACTGAGAAAACATTTAAAAGTAAATATACTTTAACAACTATACATACACATTAAATGTGGGCTGCTTTTCAAATTTCAAATGTAATTATTGTTTTGAAATCTATTTATCTTAGGAAGGGACTGCAAACTAAGGGAGCGGTAATCAAATGTCTTCAGGAGTGACACAGAACATACCAGGAGTTTGCACCAAAGGCTCAGGCCTGAAGTGTATGTTGAGCATGTGCAGAGCCTGTTCGAAAGGAGACCAGTTTGGTGATTCATTTCATTATCAGCAGAACTCTAGCTATCCAGGCATCATCACTGAGCAAAGGCTAGGGCCTGGGGCACACTTTGCTTTAGCTGTTTTTGGAATAAACCACCGGAAACTTAACTTTGCAATACCAAACTGAGATGTGCCAGTCAGCGCCAAATACTGTTCATATGTGGGTGAGGGGGTGGTCTCTGCTCCCTTCTAGCCAGAATAACTCGCAAGCAGGCTACCAGTGGGTGGTGGGCAGGCTTCCCAGTTGCACCATAGTTGCCCAGTGCTGAGTTTGCAGGCCTTATGGAGCCAGTGGTATTTCTGGCAGCATCACAACAAAGCAGGCTTGGACCCTGGCAGAGCAATTTGGTGCCTGCAGTAGTGGAGGCCTGAGCTGCCTGCTGCCATGGGCTGTAGCCTCAAATACCTCTGTTTGGAAGATAAAATCCAATTGACTGCCACTTACATAAATGTAACAGGAAGTTTCTGAATGGCTTCCCCTGTGTCTTGAGGCAGTTACCTTGGTATTGCTAAACTAACAGCTGAAATGAACCCAGACAACACCTCATCAAAGCCGCGGGGCGAGGAAGCAGCGGTCCACAGACAGACAGCAACATTCCTGCCAAACCAGAGGAGATTTCACTCTGTGGGCTCTTTTCTGCAGAAATGCTAACAGCTGGGAAAGCCATCAGAGAATGCAGGTAAGGTGGGTATAGCTGAACACTGTGGCTGGAAAAAGATTTGCAAGCTGCAGGAAAAAAGTCATCTGTTTTGATGGAGCTTTCCTTGTGTATATTCTGAATAAGGCTGCCTGGCTGGATTTCACAGACCAGTGTTTTGCACCACTCTGCCACTAAGCATCTGGGGAAATATCCAGTTTTTCTACAAAATAGGTCATCTTTCCACACTTGTTATGCTCCTTGTCGACTCTGCTGAAATAGCCACAGCACAAAAGAAATTCTCTCTGGAGATGTTTTTCTTAGGCAAACCCGTTCCCTCTCCCCCTTGAGAGTGTGGCTCCTGAAGTGGAGCCAGGGACAGGGGCTGAAGATCATCCCTGTTCTTCTCCTTCCCAGCAGGAGTGTTGTCCAGAAATGGAACAACTGGCTTTTGCTTATACTTCCAAAGCTATTAGAGAGTGATCATAACGAGAAAAACTAATACTGACAAGAATTATGCCATTGTTCTATTTCATCTATTTAGTAACCTGAAGTTGCAATTTTTAGAAAAAGATTACCTTTTAAATAACCGATTCATTATGGTACATGAATGAATGCCATGTTCCCATGTTCAAAATGTCATTCTCCATTAAGGGTGCATGCTGGTAAGTGGCACCAATTTACCACTTCCCCTTATATACAAACACCCCTGACTGGAGGCCCAGTATAATCGGAGGAGAGTTTGTGGGTTTCCTCAGCTCTTAGCAAGTCACCTGCACTGCCAAGCACCTAATGAATCTCAATTCTGTAATAAGGCTTGTAAGTTTTCCCCTCCCTGGGTGAAGGTGTAAAGGAAAACTAGAACCGATGAAGTTCCTGCCAAGGCAACACTATCAATTTTAAGGCCGAGTTCAGAAATCACAGACTCATACTACAGGGGCTGTGAGTGGGGAGACCACCAGTATACCCTCTGGCCACAAACCTGGCTATAAGAAATGAGAGGTAAGGACAGACTTGGACAGGGATGGCACGCTGACCTGGGTTCAGCTCTGCACTGCTCCTGGGTCCCTGTGGGAAACCTGCCAGGGTCTGGCAGTTGAACAGTGTGTTGAATATTCTCTGGAAACCTCCCTTCAAGCTTGTGAAATCCACACATTGTTTTTCATCAATAGTTTCAAAACATGCTGAGTATTTGGCCCTTCTCTAAGTGCTGTGGTGACACAAAGGAAAGGGGGGATCTGGTCTCTGCAGGGAATGGGCCCCTTGCAGGGGACAAAAGAGAGGTGAAACAGACAGATACCATTAGAAGACACAGCACGTAGGAGGTGGCACCCAGGACACAGACTCCACAGCTGGCCTGTGGCAGTGGCCCCCACATACCTGATATGGCATACAAATTGGAGTGCTGGTACTCATAGTCCGTCCGGGTACTGTTCCTGCCTCGGAAGGTGGCAGGGAGTGTTAGAGAGATGTGCCTGAGAAAGAGACAGAGGAGAAAAGGAACGTTACCAGGAGCATGGAGCATTCCCCAAGACTCAGAAAGCACCCG